ACTCAAAAGCCTCTCAGTTAAAGGCACAGCTGCAGAGCCCAGTTAAAAATCTGGCAACCGCCTCTCCCTCTATAGGAGGAGAAAGACTCTGGAGCACCGCTGCAAGAAGCCTGCATTTAAGGTATATTTGCTTTGCTTTGTCGGTGTATGCAACAATCATAAATAACAGCGGCTAAGTCTAAACGCAGCGAGAACCAGCTTGCGAACTTGGCCTCCTTCATCATCGCGCGGCTTCCAAATTGCCCTCGAAGTTTTGGCTTAACGGACCTGCGTTGCCACTACTACGACTTAAAAAGATTAAGGGGGGAGAATCAGGCCTCCAGTGTTAATCGGTGATTTGCTGAGGTTTCCTTGCGTCCCTGGGACCTTCGCAAAAGCCCATCTTCCCCGTTCTATCAGAGACGTCTTTAAAAGCGCCGGGAGGCGAGGGGGATTGATGGATAAATTATGGCCTCTGAGAGAAGGGGTGGGGAAGAGTGCATTATACAAATGAAAGCGGTGTGTTTTACAGGCCCATAATTTATAGGCCGGGGGTGGGCGGGGAGGGGGAGGGGAGAGAGAGACCCGAGAAGAATCCTGAGTGACTCCCACCAGAGCTTGATGGTGAGGTCACAAACTTGGAAGTTTTCGCCCACTTAGAAAGGCTGGGCCGATCCCTGCTTTATCCGCTGCGTTCCACGCGAGAAGGTTTGGTGGGACTCCGCTCCCTCCATCCCCACATAAGTTAGCGAATACAAAATCCAGTGCAATGGCCTGATCTCTTGGCTGCAGGAAGGGCACACTGCCTCCTTTGTTTCACACGTGTCATCATTCCTCGAGAAGGAACAGTCTATATCAGTGGTTCCCTATTAGAGACTCGGGGACTCCTGGGGAGTCCGCAGCCTCATCCCTTGCCTGCCCCCAACTAATTTTTTTTTTTGTCATTTTTGCAGGGTAATATCACAAATTTTATGGTCTTATTTTAGTATACCTAAAATCTTTTGCTTATTAAAGGCTACCCCACATTTTGTTCAGAAAATTACTTTGTAGAGGTAACTTCCATAGAGTTATCAATTTTTTTCAAAAGTAGGGGGTCCCTGGCTTGGCTTTCTAAAAAATAGGGGATCCTCAGCAATTAGCTAATTGGGAACCACTGGTCTATATCTTTGGATATTTACAAAATATTAGAAGTAACCAAAACGAATGATCATGCAATATATTGCTGTTGTGTTATTTACGCCTCAGTGCTATTCGGTGTTCCAGAACGAGACTTTCAACCGTTCTAGGACTTGCCCCCCATCCTGGTATGTTGAACAGAGCCAGAGAATTGGGTTGCCAACTTTTCAGTCGGGCCTTGCTGCTCCGCCTTTATCAACGGGTTGGCTGAAGGAGCATCTTATGAGAACAACGTTTACCTGTTGCCAGGTCGTTCCTACAAGTCGCATCACCACGGTGTGAGAGCGGGGTACACACCATACATTGAAAGCACATTTCCCACCCCCAAAGAATACTGGGAACTGTAGTTTATCCCTGACAGAGCTACAATCCCCAGCACCCAAACAAGTTCCCAAGATTCTACAGTTCCCAAGATTATTGGGTCTGCTTTAATTGTAAGGTGCGTTTTCAGCCAACCTTGAAGACACAGAACTAGTTAATGGAAGCCCTTCAAGAAGACATGGGTGGGGACCTGCGGCCGCCGTGACTCAGTGGCAGAAGGTCCCAGGTTTAATTTTGCCATCTCCAGGTGTGTGAGAGATGAGAAAGGCCTCTGCTTGAAGAGATGGAGAGCCCTTGAACCGTCCAACATTCAGCGTTCGACAGTTCTAGGTCAGAGGGACAAATTGTTAGCGGACATAACATTGAACATCTTCCTGGGATGGGAAACCTTTGTTGTGACCTTCCAGAAGTTCTTGGACTCAACTCCCATCATCCTTGGTCATCGGCTGTACTGGCCGGGGCTGATGGGAGGTGGAGTCCACCAGGTTCCCTGTCTTAAAATCATCTGGTGAAACACAAAGCTCACAGGAGCGCAGTATAGGCCCATGAAGGTGGTCTCTTGAATTCATGGGGATATCTGCCATATAGGGCAGGGGCCACCCTCAAAGTCGTGTTTTGGGGGAGCCTTCCTCAATGCGCGGGAAACCTGGTGAGACGGGGAGAGGCCCTCTGCACATGCTCCAAGGCACGTGAGCCCCAAGTTCCCTGCCTTGTATTCATAAACGAGTAAGTAATCATCAAGCAAATCTACAAGGAAGGCTATTTGCTAAGCGGTGTAGGAACGGAACACGATGCCTAGTTGGACGTGGCCGAGAGATTATCACGATGATGTCCGTGAACAGTCTCATCTTCAGCCGCCGTCCAACTAACGTCCACAAAACAAGGCCCAACTTGGTTGCAGGCTGGCTTATTTGTGGTGATATCCTCCAATGCTTTTGAGGGTTCAGAAGTTCTTCTTCACACGCTTCGCTCTCCTTGGGACGAGATCTCCTATTTCCCGAGAAGCCCCCGAAGGCACCAAAAGGTGAAACCCATTTTCATAAACCTCTTTGACCCCCGGAGGCTGCCGTCTTTCCTGCAGCAAAACCAGGCATGGTCTGGGCGCCTTCCCGGTACAAAGTCAGCCGAACTTGGTCTCTTTCACAAAGAGCTTCTGAAGAAAGAGAGGGACGAGAAAAGGGGTGCAGAGAGAGGCAAAGGACCCGATGTTTGCTCTCTCTCTGCCAGCCTTGTATCGACGTTACGTGACCTTCCGTTCACATTCCCGCCGGCGGCTCTGTCTTTCTCTAACCTGCTGCAGCCGCCTTGGCAGTTTCTGATTTCTCCCCCAAAGCAAATGAACCCCAAACTCTTCCCCTCGCTTTCTTAACGCCTCCTATATGCGTCTATATATCTATATGCATTTAGCCGTGTTTGTGTAAGATAAGTGGGTTTAATAACACCATCGACTAAACATGCGTTGGCGGCGGACCTGACTTCTTTGACCTCGCCGTGTTTATTCTTTCCAGCTCGTTAAAAAGCTGTTGGCACCGTCGAGACGGGGAATATTTAATTTCAGGTGTCCAGGAATCGGAGGAGAAGCTGGAAGGCAAGAACTTATCCACATTAAATACATTTAACAGGCAGGAGAGGAGAAATGAAAGGAGCGCATTTTCACGATAGGCAAGGACGACAGAATGTGCAGTTGGTGGAGAAAAACAAGAATCTTTGTTGACTAGGAAACGAAGAGAGAACATCATTGACGCTAATTTTAATAGGATTTTAAAAGACTCTTTTTCATTCCCTTCAAAACCAGGATCGTGCATCGTTTCGCGTAAAGGCTATGATGCCTAAGCAAATTCAGAGGGGTTTTTTTCTGTATGTTTGGTTAACAACGGACTGAATTATCAATTCAGGACTCTGGCATCCTTTTTATTTTAAAGATGAAAAGGATTAGAAAATAATAATACCGAGACTCTAGTCACATGCATGTGGGAGAAGCCCCACTGAACTGATAGGAGCTTACTTCCAAGTAAGCAACCATGGGATCAAACTGGTCCTCAGTTGTGACAACCTGAAAAGCAGAACAACGAGCGCGAATAAAACTTTTCTAAAAGACTGACACAGTCGGAGTTTATTACTTTCATCTCATTTTTATTTTTGCACCTGCAACTCTGTTACGAAGGATGCGATTTTTAAACATTGATCCATAGGTAAGTAAATATAGCACCTTAGCAAAGAGTTGATGCTCTTTTGATATCATCCTTGGAGGAAAATGCATCCGCGTTCCATTCCCGGGGAGTAGAGCGCTGAAGTCCCTCCACGTTCCATAAATGGCAGCATTCACCATTTCAAACACTGGACGTGCGCTCCATATCCAGGTCAAGATGCGAGGAGGGTGGGAAAACAAGACAAAAGAACAACTGGCGTTTATGTATGTGTTGTCCCTTCTTAATTCACAACGGTCTTCTTCGGGTGCTACTGTTAAGCATCCCTGAAAGGTCGGCTGTTGACCGCTGTAAAAGAAAGGTTTTAAAAAGAGGGCGAGGAAAATCTTTTACGCCGCCCCAAAATAATCAGGCTTCAGAGGTGATACACCTCGTCCTATCCTAATTATGCTACCTACAGAAGAAAAGTAAAATACAGGAATAACCGGGAGTTCCCTTCTGTGCAAATTATGTATCTCTTTCTGTAATAATATCCGCACGGGCTCCCAGAAAAGCAAAGGGGACATTTGTGAACTCAGCTCCCGGGACAGACAGCCTCTAAATAGAGCAGAACCTCCCCGCGCTACTATTAATTATTTCAGATTCTCACTCTCTCTCTCTCTTTCTCACACACAAACACAGAGCCTCAGCCCTCGCCTAGCTGCGTGAGTTGCCCAAATAACTTTCAGTAGCTGAGAAAAGCAAAGAGAAGTTTCCTTTCCCCCACTAATTAAGGTTAGAGCATGTCGCTCTCGCAGCCAGACGGAGCATCCTAACTTAGGAAAGAAACTTAGAGACGCGATTCCTTCGCTGTTGTTGAAGGCAGGGAAAAAAATATCCTTTCCCTTCTATGGGAAACCCGTCTGATGAAGCGTTTTGCGTAAACCGTCAGCGCTCTCTCTCCTTCCCCCTCCAGCCCCCCTGGCCAAAAAAAGCAGGAAGCTCCCCCCAGGTAGGCGGGACCTAGCATCCCAGCATTCTTGACAGCTGTGTGCCGAGGCCAATCGGCTGCTCGGGATCGCCTCTCCGGCCACCAATGGTGCCCTGCCTCTCCGGAGAGCCTATGGGAGCCTCTCCCGAGCCTTCAAGTGAGCCCAGCCAGCAGGTCCGGAGCGCTTTCGCCAGAGCGGTGTGAGAAGGAGCGCTTTCCCCTGGAGGGGTGGGGGAGACATTCGCTGCATCCGTGCAATCTCCGCGGAAGGGGCGCAAGTTTCGCGGATGGTGGGGCTGCTGCGGGCTGGGGCTGATCCGCCGCTCCTCCTCCTCCTCCTCCGGAGCTGCTGCTTGCAAGGCGACCCCATGAGCCTCTCCGAAGCCGTCTAAGCCCGCGCCGCCGGGATGGAGAAATCCAAGAATTTCCGCATCGACGCGCTGCTGGCCATGGATCCTCCCAAGGCGGCGGCCTCGACGGCTCAGACGTCGCCTCTGGCGCTGGTGACCTCGCTGTCGGGCCACGCCAGCTCGCGATCCAGCAGCTCCAGCGCCAGCTCCAGCTCCAGCTGCAGCCCGCCGTCCTCGGCGGAGCCTCCGCCCTCGTCCGTCGAGGGCCTGCGCACCGACAGCCCCTCGCCGCCTCGGCTCCTGGGCGCGCACTGCGGGCTGGTGCCCAAGCCGGGCTTCCTGGGCGGCGGGGGAAGCGCGGCAGGGAGTCCCCACCCGCACGCCCACCCCCACCCGCACCCCCACGCGCACCCCCACGCCGCCCTGGGGCTGCACCCGCAAGGCGGCGCCGGCCTCCACCCGCAAGCCGCCCTCTACGGCCACCCCATGTACGGCTACCCGGCGGCGGCGGCCGCGCTGGCCTCGCAGCACCCGGCGCTCTCCTACTCCTACTCGCAGGTGCAGCCGTCGCACCCGGCCGCCGACCCCATCAAGCTGAGCGCCGGCACTTTCCAGCTGGACCAGTGGCTGCGGGCCTCCACCGCAGGCATGATCCTGCCCAAGATGCCCGACTTTAACTGTGAGTAGCACCGAGAGAGAGATCGGACAAAAGATCCATAATAATAATAATGTGTGTGAGCTTGCGTGCGCACCACTAGATGCGTGCTGCTCTTGCTATGTGTGCGTTTTATATTTAATTTTAATTTTATTATTTATACCCCACCCATCTGGCTGGGTTTCCCAGAGAGAGGGGTGCAAGATGCATACCTAAGCAGCACGGATACGATTGTGTGAACGCTCACACACCTATGATATAGACTCTGTCCCTCTGGAATATGTACAGTAATTTAAGGACAAGGGAGCCGCGATCTTTCCTTTGTTATCCGTTTTTCTCGCTGCCAGGCAGTAGCTGGGGCCTAAATGCGGCCGATGGCGCCTGCCTTGATTCTGTTCCTCGCCCTTCCTCCTTTGCGATAGAAAGACGCTCCCTGGCTGATCGAGGATGGTGTATTTGGATGGGGTTTTGGGGGTGAGCGAGGGAGACCCCCGCTAAAAGGAAAGTCGCCCTTGGAAAAGCCGAGGTAGCCTTGGGGAGGAGCGGCTCCTCTCAACAAGGAAGGAAAAGGCCATTTCCCAGCAGGGAGGTCTTTAAACCTGCAAAACGCGTGCTTTGGGGGTCCGTTCTTTTGGGAATCAAACACGGACGAACACGAGAAGCAGTGGGAAGGGCTGGGTGGCGCGTAAAAGGCCAAATATTGTGCACAGGGCAGCGGCCGACTCACTGGAGCCTAAACCGCGAATCCATCGGATTAGCCAGTCCGGTGGTTGTCCTTCGCCCTACCTAGGAACTGAGTTAGGGTTTCATGGGGACAATTTCAGAGCTTCGTTTTTTAAAAAAAAGGCGATGGGGATGATCCAGTCCCCATTAAGTCTCATTTATTTCAACGGAAGGGTTAACCTTGTGCTTTGTTTGGACTGACTTCTCTTGAGAATGTCGGGATCTTAAAATACTTTCCCCCCTGGGTGTGCGCCCGACATCCCTGCTATAATATCCCTAATATGTGTTCTTAATTGTATGGGGAGCACTGGAATATCGAAGCCAAACCATTAGCTGTTCTTGCACACGAGGGCTGTGTCTCCAAAAGACTGACCTCTTAATATTCTCTACCAAGATTTGTATTATTTGGGGTAAAATTGTAGCTAGGCCTCCGTGAGGCTATTTCTTGTATTTCCCCCTCCCTGTGCAATAATCATTCAGTAAATCCATATTATTATTATTTCATATTAATAACTCGAGACAAGCGACCTCGCAGATATAATGGCGTGTTGGTTACTTGATGTTCACTTTGCTATAAAAGCAGTGCAGCTCAGAGCTAGGCTTACTTTTCTTGATAAATCGTTAAAGGGGGGGGGGTGAGTTACTTGTTTCTTATCCCCCCCGTCCCTTTTTGAAGGAGAAGAAAAGACGAGGCCCTTCCGACAGGAAAAAGTAATAATTAGGGAAGCTGTCAAAATTCCTGCTCCCGCAAATAAAACGCACGTGTGAACAAACAGCCCGAAGAAAGACCATAACGGGAGGCTTGGGGAAATCGCGCCGGGGTGCGAAAAACCGCCTCGGCGGTGCTGTTTGCACGTGGCAGGAGGCTCTGGGAATTTAAGGGAGAGAGAAAAAACGCGTACTACTATTCTGATATTTTAAGAGTTTTCCTGCAAATAAAACTAATTGTTCTGTTGAAAGGAATCTTCTTAAAGTACCCAAAGCGGTGGTGGGGCTGATAAACAGCGGGTTCAGTACTGCAACAAAATAAATAAAAATTAAGCATTGATATTGAAATCGACGAGGGTTAAAGGTGGCCTGTATCTACCTATGTTCAATTCCGGTTAGAAAAACAGGGCTTTGAAGTTTTGAAGGCGATGACAAAAGCCCTGGTTGTTAGATAACAGACTTAGACGACGCGGATTTGCTTTCTAGCAAAAAACCGGGTTGCAGCTATATCAGCGTTTAGATCTCTCTATTTGGCGCGACAAGAAAGCGGAACGTTCTCAGGATTTATTTCTGTTACATTTTTCTTTTACACGTTTTTTTCTAAAATTATTTAGCTTGCCACGTTTTTCCTAAAATTACCACGTTTTTCCTAAAATTATTTAGTTTATTTAGCATAATAAGCCTACCGCATTTTTAACAACAAACAAGTCGCAGAAGACTGATGAAACCTCTCAAGACTGAGCGCTTGTTGCGTCAAAGCCCACCATGGATAGCAGGATTTTAATTCCATGGTTGTATTTACAGGGCAATATTAACAAGAGGAGAGTTACATTGATATCCCCGATATCAGTTGGTGGAAACTGACGAGCCTAATCCGGGCGGAACAGAACACACCCAAATGCAGTCCATTCGTTTGGCTGCCAGACAGTGCCCTAGAAAACAGGACTTTTAATTCGTACTGCGTCGAGGAAAACATCTCTCGTTTTCCACGCTGCTTGCAGAAGACCCCCCGTTTATTTCCAAAAGTCTTTTGGAATTGGTAGCGGGGTATGTTTTGGTTCTATATTAAGTCTAGTCAGAGAAGGGGGAAAAATGTCGTTTCGGAGTCTGCTCCCTGTGGCCTTTTCTTCTCAGATCGATTCCCCAAGAGTCCTCCTTTTAATTAAAAAGTCCGGTTCGAGGGTCAGTCTGAGAATAAAGGGGGCACCATTGCTTAAAAGGGGGCGTTAGTTGAAACCCGCTAACGGTTTGCCCCTTACCCTTCTCCCTCAGGGCGGTGGGGGGCGAGCTCTCCTGAGCCCTCGGATCGCGCCCCTTTCACTTTCTCCCAATTATTATCTCTTGGGAAATCAGAGAATGGGCTCGTGACCCCGCCCCGAGACCGCCCAATCGTCCGGCTTCTCCGGCTGGGATAGTGCGAAGCGCTTCCTTCGGTCCAGGGCGCCCCGTCGGAGCGCCGCGCTTCCATCTCCCGGCGCTCTGCGGGCTTTGCCGCGGCCAGGACCTCTTCCGGGGCGAGCAAGGCCCGGCTAGGGGACGGGGCTGGCTGGCTAGAGGGAAGGCTCACTTTTCCCGCGGCTCTTGGCTTGGCGGAGAGGTGGGCTCCCTCGGTGAGAAAGGAGATGTCTAGAGACCCACCAGGGCGCGGGGTCAGCGAGAGCCATCTGGGGAAGCGAGGCCTCTCCCTGGACGGATCACCTTTCCAGGTGAAGACCAGGATTTGGAGGAGGAGGAGAAACTGAGAAGGAAGTCCCGTTTGCAAACTTCTGCTGGTTGGGGTTTCCTAGGACTTGCCAAGCCAAGGGCCGTCGGAAGGGCGGCGAGTTTGTCCGCTGCCTGCCTTGGCGTTCGCCCTAGCGCTTTTGCGACGGTCCAGTCCTTGCCTCACGATCTGTAAGGCGAGCAAGAGAAGCGGATCGGGCCAATTCACGGAGGAGAAGGCTAGCAACGTCGCGAAGGCCACTGTTTTCTTCCACGAGACTTTCAAGGCGCATTCAGAGAATTCTGGGCACTTGCAGTTGGCTAAAGAATGCTGGGAATTGTAACTCTACGAAGGATGAACTACAGTGCCCAGAATCCTTTGAAGGAAAGAAGGCGCTTTAAAGGTTTCGCGTGTCCGCATATGTGTCTCTGCATATGAGTTGGTCGGGATCCGGAGGAGGAGGAGGAGGGGGCTGTTGCGCTCATGTCCTGTTCTGGGGCTTCTCGCAGGCATCTGGACTCGATGGGTCATTGGCCTGATCCAGCGGGCTTCTCTTATGCACACCTCTCCCTTTGACTTTCTTCTTCCGTGTCCATGAATCACCGTTTGACATCAGAGCATGACTTCAGACCGAGGCTACAGGCTCAGAGGAAGCCATAGCAGGATGGCTCCCCTTTCTGGCTCCATCCTCCCGCGACCAATATTGTGCTTCTGCCGGAATATTTTTTAAGGAATCCTTTAAAAAACAGTTCTTAAAAATAGAATTAAATTATTGTGCCCAAACCTATACAGCTAAATCACTTCCCCTCTTTCCTAGATGTGAGATAGCATCATGGATCTGAAAGATGTTATGATGAGGAGCAGTTGGGTGTGAGATAATCCGCTCTGATCCGCACAAATGTCTCAGCCTCCGCTGCTCCTAGCCGGGTTCGCGCTCTCCATACTTTCCTGCGCAGGGCAACTCGTTCATGCATTGATTGCGGCTGCAATCTTATACCCACTACTGAACTCGAAGGGACTTGCGTTTGAGTAAAGATGTATACGATTGTGCTGTGGAAAGGGGCATTTTGTGTGTGTGTGTGTGTGTGTGTGTGTGTGTGTGTACACTGATACAGGAGGCGCATTCAAAAATGCTAAGACAGATAGGTTCTGGAAAGACTAATCATAAATGCAGTAAATGCTATATAGATACAATAAATGTAAAATAAAAATGCATCGCTAACCCGCGGAACTACAAGCTGCAGTGATGGCAACTAGGGCAGATGACTTTTTAAAAAAGAGAGGAGATTTTAGACGGATTAGTGGATATTCGGACAGCCATAAGAGCAAAATGATTCTTTGTCAGGTAGTCATGTGATTTAAATATATGGCGCGTCCTCAGCCCCCATTGACCGAGGCAGCATATCTCCGGATAGTAGGAAGCTGAGGGGAGGCTAGCGGAGCAAAGCGCTCCGTGGGACCCGAGACCCAGAGGAGGTGGGGGCTGTTCATTTTCCTGTTCCTAAAGCAACATAAGACGCGGTCGAGTCCAGGCGACCATGTCTCCGCCCCGCGGAGCTTACAGTCCAAAATTCGACTCGGGCGAAAACAAAAAAAGAGAAGGCAGGAGGAGGGGGTCTTGAACAGCACGGAAATAACCCCAGAGAGAGGGTTTCTATAGGGTTAGTTATTCTGAGAATTTTCCATAACAATTCCCAGCTTGATTTACATAAACAGAAGATGCAGGAAGTCTGTCCTCTCGCCCCCGATCTTGTTTCTGTGTGTCTTTCTAGACCGCCTTTCCTCCCCCTCTTAATCGCCATCTCCATTTCACGCCCAGCTGTACTGGATCAGTTTCTCCGGGAGGGTCCTGAGCTCCGCCGCGGTTCCCAGGACGGAGGAAGCCCCTGCGCAAAGGAGCGCGGCTGGAGGGATGTAGTGGGTGGCGCGCTCCTCGCTCCTCGCCCTCTCTCACGCCTTCTCCTTTCCTCTCTCCCTCCTCAGCCCAAGCACAGTCCAACCTGCTGGGCAAGTGCCGGCGGCCCCGCACGGCCTTCACCAGCCAGCAGCTGCTGGAACTGGAGCATCAGTTCAAGCTGAACAAGTACCTGTCCCGGCCGAAGCGCTTCGAGGTGGCCACGTCTCTCATGCTCACCGAGACGCAGGTGAGTGTCTTGCTGGGGAAGGGAGGAGGAGGAAGAGAGAAGGGAGCTGGATTCAGCAAAGGAGGGGGATCACCTGCAGAGGAAGGGGCTTTCCCCTTGCTGGGCTCGCTGCGCATCTTCCGCAGGCAGGAGGAACCTGCGTAAATAAGCGCAGCCAATCACTGTAGACATTACTGAACCAGATGGACCAATAGTCTGACTCGGTGTAGCGTACTATGTTTCTCTGTGTCTTCCTTCCTTTTTAAAATCTAAGGTGGGTTTAATTTAAAGGATTCTTTTAGAACAACATGCAGGCGATATAGGAGCCCTCTGGACATTATGGGAGGGGGGGGAAGGCATAGGGATCATAATTGCAGATCATAAATAGGAATCAGTTTGGCACCACCCATCCCTATGAACAATTTCTGCCTGTCTGCAGGAGGCTTCTCTCAAAATTATGTTTTGCTGGCACTGGGCTCCATCATGTCTAGCCAAAATAAAAAGCAGCATCTCCCTGCTGTGCTGGAAAGGCTGTGGAGAGATAGGCTCATGTTTTCATGCATTTGTGGAGTTGTACGTTGCGTTGGTATACTCCTTTTGCAAAACAGGTTTTCACATTATTTCCACAATTACACAGCAACGCCTCTCACCCAAGTTGGCTCTTGCCTTGCTATCATTAGACTCAAATTTAAACAATAATCTTAGATGCTGAGATTTAGTATCTCCCCCCCCCCCCCCGTTACTAGCAGCCCAATTAACAATAGCCCAATATTGGAAACAACCTATAGAAATCCCCAATGAAATCTGGTTAAATAGTATTTGGAATGTGGCTCAATTGGAATGTCTTACTTGCCACAAAAGACTTAATTAGAAGCACTTCAAGGACAGACCCTTTTGGTGAGATTTGGTTTCCTTTCTTTTCCTTTATAAATGAGACTGAAGATACTGTTATTCCACCCTCAACACAAGAATCATAGAATCATAGAATCATAGAATCATAGAGTTGGAAGAGACCACAAGGGCCATCGAGTCCAACCCCTTGCCAAGCAGGAAACACCATCAGAGCACTCCTGACATATGGTTGTCAAGCCTCTGCTTAAAGACCTCCAAAGAAGGAGACTCCACCACACTCCTTGGCAGCAAATTCCACTGTCGAACAGCTCTTACTGTCAGGAAGTTCTTCCTAATGTTTAGGTGGAATCTTCTTTCTTGTAGTTTGGATCCATTGCTCCGTGTCCGCTTCTCTGGAGCAGCAGAAAACAACCTTTCTCCCTCCTCTATGTGACATCCTTTTATATATTTGAACATGGCTATCATATCACCCCTTAACCTCCTCTTCTCCAGGCTAAACATGCCCAGCTCTCTTAGCCGTTCCTCATAAGGCATCGTTTCCAGGCCTTTGACCATTTTGGTTGCCCTCCTCTGGACACGTTCCAGTTTGTCAATGTCCTTCTTGAACTGTGGTGCCCAGAACTGGACACAGTACTCCAGGTGAGGTCTGACCAGAGCAGAATACAGTGGCACTATTACTTCCCTTGATCTAGATGCTATACTCCTATTGATGCAGCCCAGAATTGCATTGGCTTTTTAGCTGCCGCGTCACACTGTTGGCTCATGTGAAGTTTGTGGTCAACCAAGACTCCTAGATCCTTTTCACATGTACTGCTCTCAAGCCAGGTGTCCCCCATCTTGTATTTGTGCCTCTCATTTTTTTGCCCAAGTGCAATACTTTACATTTCTCCCTGTTAAAATTCATCTTGTTTGTTTTGGCCCAGTTCTCTAATCTGTCAAGGTCGTTTTGAAGTGTGATCCTGTCCTCTGGGGTGTTAGCCACCCCTCCCAATTTGGTGTCATCTGCAAATTTGATCAGGATGCCCTTGAGTCCATCATCCAAGTCGTTGATAAAGATGTTGAATAAGACCGGGCCCAAGACAGAACCCTGTGGCACCCCACTAGTCACTCTTCTCCAGGATGAAGAGGAACCATTGATGAGCACCCTTTGGGTTCGGTCAGTCAGCCAGTTACAAATCCACTGAGTGGTAGCATAGTCAAGAATCTCTGTTGGGGAGGCTACTTGAATTGATAATACATAAATAAACAAACACATTACTTGTGTACTATGTACTGCATATGAAGCTTAATAATGTATCACTGGGCAAGTTGCTGTAGTTATATGTTATTTATTTGAATGAAAAACAATAAAAATTATGGGGGGGGGGAATGGGAGTCTGTGCCCCCCTAGCAGTTGTTGGACTTCAACTCCCCCAGCCACGACCAGGGCTGGATTTAGGTTTGATGAGGCCCTAAGCTACTGAAGGTAATGGGGCCCTTTATATGTCCAGCTGTCCTTTGTCAACAACAAATTGTCGCTGTTTTTGTGTTGAATATATGCTATATGGTAATTTATGGACCTAATAGGTATCTAAAGCCATTTGCACATAACAAAATATGTATTTTATCAAAGTAATTGTTGAACTGAGATACAATTAAGAAGCAGTATATTAATAGTGAAATACAATTAAGAAGAAGTATGTTTTTTGGGGGGCCCCAAGAGAGTGGGGCCCTAAGCTACAGCTTGTTTAGCTTATACATAAATCTGGCACAGGCCATGACCAACATAACCTGTAATTGGAGATTACGGGAATCAGAGTCCAGCAACATGGGGGGGGGGGAGGTCTACGTATCTCATAGGTTTCTCATTCCCACTCTCATAAATTGATGAAGGTGGCCTATATGGAGTTACTCCATTTTCTCCCTGTGCGTGGAGGTGGTGACTACCCCAACGTCACCCAGTGAACTTCCTGGATTAGCAAGGACTTAGACCCAGATCTCTTTCTTCTAGATACACTTGTGACTATCCACAACACATCATGCTAGAGATCTTTGCCTTTTGATTTTTCTTATTGCCAGCTGTTGTTAAAACACACAACAGCCACTGATTGGTTGTGCCATTTGCAGCGTGCAAGGTGGTGCTCTTCCTACCCCATCTTTGGGAGTCTGGGACGCTGCGAACCAGGAATGCCCTGGCTCAGATCTAAGTTCTATCATAAATTTTCCAGGTGGCCTTTGTGAAGCCACACTCTGCTTTAGCCCAGGGGTGATAAAAATGGCTCTACTTCCAGGGCTGGTGTAAGGATTGCTGACATAATGTTTGTGAATGACTTGGGACACTTGAGAGGTGTCTAAATCCCACTACTGCCACTAATCTCTTGATTAGTAAAGTGCCCAAACTCATGCTATCTTGGTAAATGCAGATGCCATGTGGAAGCCCTCCCTTGATAGATTTATTAAAAAAATTACAAACCATCTTTCCAGTTTTTTCATTCTTCAAACAGTCAAAGCTGGCAGAGAGAAATCCAGAATCAGAGGCAGAAGCTGTAGCAGGAGAGGAGGGAGGTCAAGAGGCAGAGATGAGTCAGGCTGGTGAAGAGTCATGGGTATCTCTGCCTCCTGCTGCACAAACTTCCTCTCCCCATTTGTCTCCCAGAACCAGAATGGGGCTGAAACGGGCAGAGCAGGCTGTATGCAGGCATAGTCTCTGACTGCTTGGGAATAGCCCTGGAGAGGAGAGGACTTAGATGGCTGTAGGGTACCAGGGACTTTCAGTCTCAGCAGCTGATTTTCATGCAATAAGGCCACTGGGAATTAGCTTCTGTGCTTGTCAGGCCTGACCTTCAACCAAGTCTGTGGAGATTGTGTTTTTGCTAATAAAGAGTTGACTCCAACTTTGAATGGTGTAATTTACTGCTGGCTCATTCTGTGACAGACCTTGTTCTTCATGCTATAGGTCTGATCCCATGTATGTCACCTGATCCCATTGTGTGCTATTTCCACTCTCCTCTCTCCAGGTAAAGATCTGGTTCCAGAACCGGCGTATGAAGTGGAAACGGAGCAAGAAGGCCAAGGAGCAGGCGGCTCAGGAGGCGGAGAAGCAGAAAGGAGGAAGTGTTGGGGAGGACAAAGTGGGGGATGAGGTGCTGCCTGCGGGGGCCCCAGAGAAAAACAATGGAGGGCGCCGCTTGCAGGAACTCAGGGACAGTGACCGGGAGGAAGAGGACGATGAGGAAGAGGATGACGAAGAAGAGGAGGAGGAGGAAGATCGGCCCGGACACTGCTGCTCCTATGGGTCTCCCGACTGCTCTGACGGGGATGAGGATGGGAGGCAGCCCCATGGACGGCATGGGGGAGCCCACCCACAATTGCCCCCCACCTCAGCTCCCTGAACACTTGGATCCCAGAGCCAAGAGCCACTTTCCTTGCACTGGTTCAGGAGAAAATCCTTTCCCAACCCCACGTGTGTTTGTTGCTCTGTGTGTAAGCTGGTGCCCTGCAGGTGTTTTGGGACTGCAATTCCCATCAGCCCCAGCCAGCATGGCCATATGAGACCATGGTGATGCTGGCTGGGGCTGATGGGAGTTGTAGTCCAACACATCTGGAGGGTGGCAGGTTGGTGAAGGCTGGTCTAAAGTAAAATGCTCTCATTGTCCTCCATGCAACTGACTTTACTGGCCCCAATGGCGCTCCATGTGCAACTAAGCCTGCTCTTCCCAGTTTACACAGTCATGTTCCTCAGTGTCCTGCCTCCTCCCCCCATGGGCTCAGGCTTAGTGTCAGGGTTCGAGTCAGACGTGGGTCAGCATGTCTGTGCAGTTAACAATTTGAGGAAATGGCATACAACACTGCCCAGTAGGTCTTGCCCCTATGGAACAGTAGGCAGAACTGAAGGTTCTCTGCCTTCCGCTCTTTCTCCTCTCCCAGATGTTTCACAAACAGTCTCAAGCTGCGTCTACACACCTGTGGCCTCTTTCCTGCTCTCCTCATTTTTCTGTGCATTCTTGGGGACCAATGGGGAGGGGAGGTTGGCGCAACAGGAGAGGGAGACTCCCTGGAGTCTTCAATAGTCTCTTGACTGACTCCCCTGCTTCAGCCTCGGAGTCTGAACTGCTCCTTGTCACAGGCTCTTCCTGATCACTTTACCCTGTTGCCCCTTCAGCATCCAGCCCCTCTTCCCAATTGTCCCTCTGACCTCTCTTCAGTGTTCCATCACGGATCCCTGGGCTCTGAGCCTTCCTCCTCTGGGGTTTCCCTTGAGGGATCCTTGGCTGGTGCCTTCCACTACTCCTCTTCACCCAGCCAGTCCTTGACACTTAGCACATGAAGAAGAAGAGTTTGGATTTGATATCCTGCTTTATCACTACCCGAAGGAGTCTCAAAGTGGCTAACATTCTCCTTTCCCTTCCTCCCCCACAACAAACACTCTGTGAGGTAAGTGAGGCTGAGAGACTTCAGAGAAGTGTGACTAGCCCAAGGTCACCCAGCAGCTGCATGTGGAGGAGTGGAGACGTGAACCCGGTTCACCAGATTACGAGTCTACCGCTCTTAACCACTACACCACAGGGGCTCATGAGAGTTCTCTTAATCCGATTGTTATTGTTTAAATTGATTTTTAATAAATGTATGGGCTGCTCTTTCACAGCTCCCCCACTATCTTGCAAACAGTATTTAAAGTCACAACAACATTACAATATATTATAAATAAAACCTCCCTTCCGCGACCACTCTAAAACAAATAATTCCAACAGCCAGCAAGAAAACATATTTTTAAAAAGAATCAAAGGCCCAGCATGGTTGTATAAATAGTATAGAAGAAGAAGAGTTTGGATTTTATATCTCGCTTTATCACTACTTGAAGGAGTCTCAAAGCGGCTAACATTCTCCTTTCGCTTCCTCCCCCACAACAAACACTCTGTGAGGTGAGTGAGGCTGAGAGACCGCAGAGAAGTGTGACTAGCCCAAGGTCACCCAGCAGCTGCATGTGGAGGAGCGGGGAAGCGAACCCGGTTCACCAGATTACAAGTTCACTGCTCTTAACCACTCCACCACACTGGCTAGAAGCTTCTGGGCCTTTAAGGAAAATAGGGTTGATAGTTCACTCCTGCTTAATCAGCCTGTGGCTTGACCTCCCCATTTTTGCCGTACACTATTCACTCCTTTAGCTCCTCCTCAGCATTGCTCAATGATCAGGAGTGTAAAACCACATTGTCCTCTAGTGGTCGGTTGGGAATGTTAAGTCGCCAGCTCTTTGTCAGAAAAGCCAACCTCCAGACCTGGTAATGTGTCTCAGTGAAAAAATTCAGTTCACAAGGCACAGCTGATGGGCACCCCCAACCCAGTACAGGTACGTCGGGTTAAGAACTTAATTTGTTCTGGAAGTCTGTTCTTAACCTGAAACTGTTCTTAACCTGAAGCACCACTTTAGCTAATGGGGCCTCCTGCTGCTGCCATGCGATTTCTGTTCTCATCCTGAAGCAAAGTTCTTAACCCGAGGTACTATTTCTGGGTTAGTGGAGTCTGAAACCTGAAGCGTCTGTAACCCAAGGTACTACTGTAGTACCGAAAGCTAGAGTCGTCTTCTTTCTGCAGCCCTGATTAATGAGTCCCTGTTCTATTATGCCAGTGCCACCGTGCTGAAAGCTGACACTGGACATGTGGCTCTTTGGACCACTTTGCCTCTCCTCTTCGACAGTATTGAGAGTTTTTATGCTTTATAAGAAGCAATCTGGGAAACCTACGACCACGAAGCTTGGAATCTTGGGAGGACTGTATTGTCTTTATTTTTGTACATTGTATTTATAAAAAGAGTTAAGAAGAAATACCTCTACTTATGCATGCTAAGTTATTAATCAGCTTCTCCCAATGTCCCAAAGGTTATGTAAAATAAAACGGTTTTGTACTTGAGATCTGCATGGATTCCTTGAACCAAAGAGCTGGCTTTAAGGCTCTGTGTGTAAATTTTTCCTAGGCTTTATGCTGAACAAAACCAATTCACAACTCAATTAAAATGAAGCAGATAGAATTATGATTTCCAGGTTTTTTGTGCATGCACCTGTGCCTTAAGAACTGTAGGTCAGGTATAAAGTCAACCAGCGATGACATTCCTAGAGCAGAGGTTGAGGGTTGCTAAACGGCTTCATATCACAGAAGGCTGATAACCTTAAGTAAGGACTTTCCCCCATTATAAGCACACAATTCTTAACTCTAGCTGGATCAGACTAAAAGTCCCTTTGTGTTTGATTTTTAGCTGGATCAGGTCCATTGATTTTAATGCTGCTTTCTTTCATACTGCATTTTAAAATGGGGGCATTGATCAATACTGATCAAACATTGCATAAATGCCTCAAATTAAATGCATACATATACTGATAGTGCACCGAAAATGCAACTCCAAACTTCTGAGATAGAGTGGTACCTCGGGTTAAGTACTTAATTCGTTCCGGAGGTCGATACTTAACCTGAAACTGTTCTTAACCTGAAGCACCACTTTAGCTAATGGGGCCTCCTGCTGCCGCTGCGCCGCCGGAGCCCGATTTCTGCTCTCATCCTGAAGCAAAGTTCTTAACCTGAAGCACTATTTCTAGGTTAGCGGAGTGTGTAACCTGAAGCGTATGTAACCTGAAGCGTATGTAACCCGAGGTACCACTGTACATAAAATCTATGTTTTTATAGTATTTCAGTGTTAGAGGGCTGTATGCAGGCCTTTAAGTTTGCAACTGCAACCGATTACAACAGACTGCGTATATTTCCTGTGCACTGAACTGTGTTGCTCACTGTACAGCCTGGAGAGAAAACAGAGTGTAAAACTAATGTGTGGATATTTTGAACTAGCAGGAAACTTGCCATTCCACTCCACACCAGAGGCCAAGGGAGCAGAGAAAACTGATCTCTGCGCATCTCGCTAGCTGGATCAGGAACTGCAGGCGAAGATCAAATATATGCCCAAATGCTGATGCTGCGCTACTTTCAGCACACTTGACTGTCCTTCCCCATTCAGATTTTGTTTCTGAGCCCAGATAATAAGAAAAAAAACCTTCCCAGCTCTATCTGCTGCATTCTAAACTTGTATTTTCTATCTGTTTTACCAAATGGAAAAAGAAATATTGAAGTAGATGCAGGATTCAGGATCTTGCTGCACTGTGTAATGCTGGATATAGAATAATAGAAACATAGAATTGCAGAGTTGGAAGGGACCCTGAGGATCATCTAGTCCAACCCCCCAAAATGCAGGAATATGCAGCTGTCCCATATGGGGATTGAGCCTGTAACCTTGGTGTTATCAGCACCATACTCTAACCCCCCCCCCCCACACACAGAAAGAATGTCATAAATAGACCAAGCAGTACTAGTTGTATGCGACAAGTTGTATGCAGAACATATTTCATATTCTTTAAGAAGTACGTTTGGGTAAATAATTAAAAATCATTCCCTTTAATAGCGGGGTTAGGTGGTAAACGTCAATAGCTTTGAAGCAAAATCAACGAGGCCATTGAGAAATAAGAGAATAATGTCAGGGGACAGACAGGGGGAACCGTCAGGTTTACAGAAGTACAACCAACTTTTTCACAGCACCAACACCTCAGGGGTCAGCCCCCCAAGCAACTCAGTGAGGTTAGAAGTCCATAGCTGAGGACTGCTGTTGGTCAGTTGGAAATGAAAAATGGAAAACCTGGAAAAGGGGATAGAAATACTTGCCTTTTACTTTCTGAAGCACCAGGTGCCCTGCACTGTAATGTTAAGCTTGCAATCCTAAACACTCGAAGGAGGAAGCCCCAGTGCAATCCTAACAATGTCTACTCAGAAGTAAGTCCTATTCAATTCAAGAGCACTTGCTTTCCGGTAAGTGGGGTTAAGAGTGGAACCTTTGTTCTGAGTTAATATGCACTCTGATCTGAATAAACAACCCAACTCTTCCCACCCCGCTAGAAAAGTACAGTGGTACCTCGGGTTAAGTACTTAATTCGTTCCGGAGGTCCGTTCTTAACCTGAAACTGTTCTTAACCTGAAGCACCACTTTAGCTAATGGGGCCTCCTGCTGCTGCTGCTGCGCTGCCGGAGCACGATTTCTGTTCTCATCCTGAAGCAAAGTTCTTAACCCGAGGTACTATTTCTGGGTTAGCGGAGTCTGTAACCTGAAGCGTCTGTAACCCGAGGTACCACTGTACGGCTGAAGTTAGTAGAACGCCTCTGGAGTAAACGACTCCAGGCTAATTAAAAGCATCTTCTTTCTCCTCTTGGGTCAATCTCCGATCCTAAAACTCCCTTCGTAGCGCCATAGAAATCAACAGGAATTTGCTTCCGATCAAACATGCATGCAGTGGATCTCAAAAGGAGCGAGCGTCTTCAGCACCTTGGTCAGCGGGAGCCGTTGGCAACGTGGCGCCCTCCAGACGCTGCCACAACTCTCATCTGTCGGCTGGCGCTGACGGGAGTTGTAGTCCCAAACATCTCGAAGGCGCAACGTTGCCAACTGCTGGACAAAGGACTCGGATTTGTGCAAAACCCAAACAATCTTCCCTGGCATTCCGGCTCAAGTTCTTGATGGATCGGCCTCAGGCTTCCCAAGTGCGGTCAAGCACAGGGTTGCTGGCTCCCCCGCCCCCTTTTGAATTTCTATATATATTCAAATCAAACGTCTTACTCAGCAAAAGCATCCCCGCTCCAGCCCCTTAAGCAGCGTTGGGATTTATCTGGCTAATAAATTGAATGATCAATTCCTCCTTGTCAGCGAGGCGCTTCCCCAAATCAATTATAGCAGATTCAAATATCATCACCGGCTCATCGATGCTAACTAACTCTGGGCCCCCGCTCGCCATTCATCGCCCGTACCTTGAATTACTGCCGGTCGGCGATCTGGCCTCGGTCTCCCGCCATCCTTCACGAGGCGCTTCTGGGTTCAAACGACTGCCACCGAAGAGGCGACGGAAAGAGGTTCCCGCCTCCCTGAACGTAGCGGAGTGACTCCGGATTGACTCCAGGTGTGTGAATGAGGGAACTCTCCCACCCCCCAGGTTGTTGTTTGTCTTCTACAACCCCGTCCAATTATCCCTTTTAAAAATGGATAACAGCAGTGATGTAAAAGAGGGACAAAAGTGGACTCCCTTGCGGAGTTGTTGTAAACCAAAGAGGCGAAAGATGCACACTTACTTAGGGGTAAGCCCCACTGAAATGAGTGGGGCTCCCCCCTGAGTAAACACACACAGAGAGGCAGTCTGCAAGGACGTGATTGAATTCAATTTATTTATTTATTGCACGCATACCACCTTTTTCTCAAGAGAACTCAATACATGATTCTCCTCCTCGTCATTTAATCTCTACAACAACAACCACCCTGTAAAGTAGGTTAGACTGAGAGCACCCAGTGAGCTCCGTGGCTGAGTGGGGATTCGAACCCTGGTCTTCCTGGTCTTAGTCCAACACTCTAGCCACTACACCATACTGGCTTTACTGCTGAGAGACCCTCCAGACTGGTGTTTTATTGCAGATATATTCTGCAATGTGTTTTTGACATAGTAATAGTGCACTGAGGTGGATGTGTCTGAATTTAGTTTGTTCTGTGCTTTCCTAATGCAGCCACATTATTGCTATAGAAATAGGGGGGAAATAGAGCATTTGTGGCACGAAAAGTTACAGGATCTCAGCAGGAAGTTATAGGATGTGCTCTCATGGGAAATGAAGCTTTTGCAGGCAAAAACAGTGTTGAAAATGGGTTTGTATGTGACTGCCCTGATAGCATAATGAGCACAAATCATCATGAATGTGGAATAAGGAGGAGATCTGGTGAATAAACACAGATGGTCACAAGCAGTGAGGTGTCAGTACTTCCCTCTCAGAAATAAGGTTCTTTTTTTGCTTGCTAACCATACAAACAACACCTTACAAATACAAATGTAGAGAGAAAGTCTCTACAGACTGATTTTCTGTCCTTAGCCATTGCATATGTTACAAGCCTGTATAATATCCACTCTGTTTGGTATTAATAGTCTCCGAAACTTTTAGTTGCCAACTTTTTAAAAGACTCTGCTCCTGTGCCTTTAACAGCATTTAGATGCATTTTAAAAAATGAAAAAATGTTTTAAATGTTTGATATCTTACTATGTCTTAATATGAGTTGCAAGCTGCCCAGAGTGGCTGGGGAAACCCAGCCAGATGGGCAGGGTATAAATAATAAAATTATTATTATTATTATTTTATTAGAGCCAAATGAACTTTTTAATGGCATAGAACAAAAGAGGGTGGGAAAAGTGCCAGGAGTTTTAACATCTGTAACATCAGGCAAAGGAACAATGGGGAAAGTTGTCAACTTTGAACCTTGCATCAAAGTCAACAGAATATAATCTGTGTGTGTGTTTGTCCCTGGATTCTTCTGGTCAGATGGGATCCCTTGGAATAAGGGAGGGATTTGAGGGTTGCAATACAAAAAAAAAGTGCTACACCAATGTAGTTTTAAAATGTAAATAAGGTTCCAGCAAGCTGTCTTCTTATGATGCAATTCTCCTGTGTGTCTCAAGAGGTGTGTGTATTCACGTGTGATTCAGGACTGTAAATAAGACTTGTAGCAGCAGGCCACAGGCTGCAATGGCAAAAGCCTACCAGTGTATTGTGCCTTTTGTATAACCTTTATCCCTTTAAAGCCTTCCCTGCGTGTCCCAAGAATGCTTTCAGCATGCCAGATTACTAGTGTAAATATGGTTTTCAGATCCCACTTTTTATGGGCGGATTAAACTTCATTTTCCATAATAGGGCACCTCGTAAAATCGTATAAAGCGCTGTCAGTCTTAGCAGCTGGCGGCCTCATTTAACACTTTCACTTCATAAATCACTGCATGGCTCTCCAGGTGTTTCCAGAAAGTGGGAAGTAAACAAATACTACCCCCGTCCCTCAAACGA